GAACGAGGAATTCGAGATCCGCAATGAGAGGACTGGCTTCATCAAAACACAAAGTGCTCTTTAACCCCTTCTTGCCCACGTTCCTCCCCTCTCTAGCCTCTACTGCACTGGTGTCTCTTTTTTAGTGTGATTTCCTTCTGGGGTTCGTCTGAGCATATCTCACTTCTGGGGGTTTTGGTTTGTTTTTCGCACCTGTCGTAGTTATGTGAGCCATGATTCACCTGGGGGTTGACCTCTCTCGGTGCCTCAACATGGAAAGCTTCCAATCACAAGCGACGGGGATGAGCCGATGGTCACAGGGTTGTCCCGGATTTACAATAAACATGATTATTGTTTGGTCTCTTCCTCTTGCCTAGTGAGATTTTAAGAAACAACAAGATTGAATTATTCGCATACGAGAAAAACAAAGCTTTTCTTTGAGTGAATGAGTGTGTGTGTCTGTGTGAGTGAAACTACGTTTATATGAAGTCAGTCAGTGCTCCAGTGGGTCGGATCCACTGGCTTTGCGCAGGGAGCCTTTTAGAAGAACTTATCACTATTTCTACATGATCAGATGGAGAGCAGAGCGGTGTGTTGTTAAACGTGTTTGAAGAGCTTACTGCTCCCCCTAGAGCATCTACATTGACAAATTCATGATTATTTTATGTACAGTAGGCTGTTTAAAGGAATAGTTCTCCAAAAGATGAAACCTGACATTATTTGCTCACCCTCATGTCATTGCAAACCTGCATGATTTTCTTAGGTGGAAAAAAGTCCAAATGCCTCTAAATTTTATATATAGTGCTGTCAAATGATTAATCGCATTCAAAATGAAAGTTTGTGTTTACACAATATATGTGTACTGTGTATATTTATTATGTGTGTGTGTATATATATATATATATATATATATATATAAGAACACATGCATGTATATATTTAATAAAAATGTTATAAATATGTGTATGTATGCGTATATATATATATATATATGTGTGTGTGTGTGTGTATGTATACACACACACACACACACACTAGTCAACATTTGAAGTGGATCAAAATCTTTCATCAAAGTTGTCCTAATCATATACAAAGTACACACACACACACATATATTATGTAAACACAAACTTTTATTTTGGATGTGATTAATTGTTTGACAGCCCAAATATAAATATATACACTAAACATACATATAAAACACAAACATAGTTAATCAAAATGTCAAAATCATGGCATCAAACCTAGTATGATTCATTATTTTGTAATTGTCACATTTAATCGTTTATTTGGCCTAGAGTCAAAATAGAAGCTGGAAATTGCTATTTAGCTGAATTTATCATTATTTTCCGATTTTAATATAATTTGTATATATAAACAAAAAAAAGCACTGTAACATTATATATTAACTTTTGCACTGTGTTCTCAAATCTCAAAAATGTGAGCACAAATTTCTTCTGAAATGGAGAATATTTTCAACAAATAGTGACTTAAATTTCTTTTTTCTCATAAAACTAACGTATGACATCTAAAGACTTTTCTGGACCGTTTTTGTTGTCATTTTTGATGCTCGACAGCTTTGCTCTGGTGATTCTTACCAGTATCTTTTGCGTTCCTTTAAAGTAAGATCTCATGCAGGTTTGAAATGACGCGAGTATTTTCATTTTCTTTGTGAACCGCAGTATCCCTGCGCTCGCCGACCGTACCGTATGTGGGGAGAGATCTCTGATGTGGGTCAGTCCCTCCGAACCAGCTCGGCAACATTAAGCTCTTCTCTTTTCTAAATCTGTCCTCCAGTCAAGGTTTGAAACACTAGAAACTGTCCCGGCTATAGGCCTATCCTGAAAAGATCTGGCTTCCATGTTGTCATGTTTATGGGGATCATCCATTTATTAGATACAGATGTTGGAGGTATGGGTGTGTTTTTGAAATAAGTCAGAGAAAGGGCTGTGATGACCCTCACCCAGAGCAGCTTGGGTTTTATAGACGTTTGGTTGTATTCGTCTGCTCAAATCATTACATCAGGTCATTTTCTTTGCTTACTACTGTTTGCTATTAGTAGTACGCTTGGCCTTGTCCGCTCATCTGCCCAGAATATAGTACTGTTGTATTTTTGTTTTTATCTGAATTACATATCCGTGATCCACATATGTTGCTCTTATGCAGTATCTTTATGAAATGACAATGTTTTCTATGGAATCTGTGCAATAGAAACCCAACAGAGTTAATGCGATGATGTGCTGATTTCTTCATCATATCCTATCAAAATGATTGGCGGTAACTGGAGAGCACTAATCGGCCTTTCAAAACCATGAAGAAAACCGAGACTGCTCGAAACAAAGACAAGGACACAATATAGGCCAGTTCACAAACTACTTGCACCATCTTCAGCCTTGCCCTAGTTTAGTTTAAACACTTTTTTTAATACAATTAAGGCTCGTCTCTTTTTAAAGTGTGTCCTGTTCATCTACACAGTCTCTAGACTAACAGAACATCTTCATTTATGACACCGTACAGTTTCACAGCTGTTAAATATCTCGACTTTATGCTAATGTTTATTTGTTGATCTGGTACCTCCCTGTTCTTAAAACAAGTTTCAAATTGGAACTTTTCATCCCTCCTTTTATTATTTGTATAGAGTTCAGCTTGAAGCTGCAATTTACTATTTAGCTAAACAACTGTATAGGCCAGGGGTGGCGAACGTCGGTCCTGGAGAGCCGCAGCCCTGCAGAGTTTTGCTTCGACCCTAATCAAACACACCTGAACAAGCTAATCAAGGTCTGAAGGGTTATTAGGAAGCTACAGGCAGGTGAGTTTTAATTGGGGTTGGAGCTGAACTCTGCAGGGCTGCGGCTCTCCAGGACTGGAGTTCGCCACCCCTGGTATAGGCCTTCACTTTATTTACAAAGAATGAATTTGGGTAAATTGGGCTACTTTTTTAATTCATTTAGCGCGCGCGCACAGTTGAATCTACTTTCTATTTTTAATACTTTCAGCATACATGCTTATTCATTTCTCTACACTTTTGTTTAGCTAAACTGTAAAATAGCTGTTCTGCCTCCTGCAGTAATGATTTAGTGTTACAGCTGTTTTGGAAAGCCTCAAAGACCGTGAAGGCATGACGAAAGAGCATTGATGAAAATCTGCTTGCTTTATAGCGATAACATGACCTGAAAAAACACATTGAAAAAAATTTACTTTTTTTAATTGAGGTTAGTTTAAGTTTTGACTTAGATAAGTGATTTGGCCATACACCTTCAGAGAATGCTTCAAAAGGCTGTTGAATGACATTTTTGCAGTTGTGGTCTAAACTCGTGTCGTGGCTGCAGTTTTTACCAAGGTCACATGCAATAGGTTTTCACCCTGATGGTGCGATGATTGCATTGCGCTTTAAGGGCTCGTGTGCGTGTGTGTGTGTGTTCGTTCAGGCTCAAGTGAGAACCTTCTGGAACCATAGGATTATTTTCATCTTTATCTGAAGAGTCAACTGATGCATGTAAATCCCCAAGTAGAAAACACCAATCATTTGTATGACTACCTGAGACGGGACAACTATATAAAAATAAGGCCTATTTTTGTACTATATATGGTGCATTGTCATTTACATGTAATTTAAAGATAATTTTGCTGTTTTTTTTTCTCTTTTTATTTAATTGATGTCAATATGCGAATTATAGATTATACAAAAAATAAAGATCTATGCAAACTTCAGCATTTTCCTTTGTGAACTCTTTGTTGTATTTCCTATAGGTCAGATCAAATCTCATAGTCCACAGCCATGCTGGAAGCTTTAATCGGTTTTTTTTAGGCTACATGTAAACTCCGATTTCCTTGACAAAGGTGCATCACACTTTTTTAAAGGTTTCTACTTGGAACTGTTTTGCTAAGAAAGGTCTAGCATCCTGTTGAGGTTGAAGTGTTGGGTGCATTGACCTCAAAAGGGAGATTTGACTACGCTATGTAAAGGATATGTTTGATTTGACCGGTCAGTGTCTCGACCAATTGTTTAAAATACTACAAAAATGAAACGAGAACACAAAGAATATTTTAGGCATGCCCTGTTTTGCAACAGAAGTGGACTTCCAGACGACTTCCCTTAGTTTGTACAATGTTACATCATTTGTGTTCTCCACAAAAACACGTGCTTATTGGAAAAAAAAAAAAAAAAAAACTATGAATCATCACTTTGTCAAAAAACAAGAAAAACACAAAAAGTTATTGAACACGCATTGACCTTTTGTGACAATATACCCTACTGCAGGGCATGTTGTCACAATGCAACTAGTTAAATGGCCTGTAATAGGTGTTTACTGTTTAGTAACCATTTAAACCATAAAACAAATGTGACCCTGGACCACAAAACCACTCATAAGTAGCACGGGTATATTTGTACCAATAGCCAACAATACATAAATTAAAGATCATGTTCCATGAGGATATTTTGTAAATTTCCTACCATAAATATATCAAACATTTTTGATTAGTAATATGCATGGCTTTTTTTTTGTTTGTTTGTTTTGTTTTTTGGACCCTCAGATGCAAATAGTTATATCTCGGCCAAATATTGCCATATCCTAACAAACCATACATCTATGGAAAGCTTATTTACTCAGCTTTCAGATGATGTATAAATCTAAATTAAAAACAGTTGACCCTTATGACTGGTTTTGTGGTCCATGGTCACAAATAGTAATGGTAACATGCAAATAAACTATTGTGCTACTAATGTTTGTATACTTTGTCTATAAATGTATCAGGCTTTAAGTATATATTTAAGAAATTATATATAGAGAGAGAGAGAGAGAGAGAGCACATACTATATGCATGCCATAAGCTTCTTAATTATTTTGTGAATTATTGCTTTTGTCTAGTTTCATGTTTAACATGCTTTTAGTATTATTTGTAATATTTAGTAATATTGAATCAAATGTATTGTAATAAAATCATATTTTAATACAAATATGAGTGTATACGTAAATTCATAGCAGACAGGGTTACTTAAATGAATACAGTCAGTATCTGGGTGGTTGAGGTGGTGTTGTGCATTCGCGGTTTCATCGTGATGAATGCAGTGAGTCTGCGTCTCGCCTGCCGGACTCTTCCTGGTTTGAGCTCTAGAGCCGCCGCTGTCATCGCAAGAGCTCGTCTGTCTCACTGTCTCCAGAGTTTACAGTTTCGACGCGCTCTTTCTTCTTGTCGTTTTATTATAATGGAGAATTACGTGCTCTTGTCGCCCTGACCGGTGCGTTTCTCTGCGCAAGGCACATCTGAGGTGAGAATTCACACAATTTCATGTCTCTCGACTATATATTCGGAGCTCTGGTGTTATATAGTCGGTCTATTTAAGGATGACTGATTGTTTGATTTATTTAAGAATATAATTCATAATTATAAAATAATGCTGACATGTAGAAGAAACGCTCGGTGACGTCACGACGCCATCTCCTTAAGACAATAAACAACTCCTTTATTAAGCGTTATGGAATTTGTTGTTTTAATCTTTGAACATCTGGATGATTTTTTTATTATTATTCAACGTATTTATGTATTTTATTAAACGGAAATGTGACCGTATTAATTTCTGTAATGGGTCAATACAGTAGGTACACAAACAAAAACGGGCTGTGGAAAATAAATTTCACATGGAAATCAATATAATGAGTTACTTTTTGCTTTATATAAAGTCTTTATATAAAGTTTTTAACGTGTTTTATATATGTTTAAGTTTAGTTCTCATATTCTTTTTGTTGTTTGTATAATTTTAAAGTTTATATGTATCTAATAAAAAGTAATTATATGTAGCTTATATGTAGCTAATAGCTAGTTTAGTTAAAGTAACGTTAGGCCTATAGTGATTAACAACTGCAGAGATGGAAATAATAATTCTGTGTTTTGGAACAAGATCACCATTTTGTTTACTGCTGTACACAAAGTAGATCGTATGCTTTGTAAAAAGTTAACTTTTTGGCATTTCAGAATATTTCCTTATGACTGAGCTGTTTGCTATTAAATAACCTTTCACATTTGATATGCCGTTGCGATATGGGAAGTGGTGATTATAGACAACATCCCTTTCTTGTCCTAAATTGCTCATGAGGAAATGAAAGCTTCTGAAAGCTCCCACGTTTATTGCAATCCTTTTTTGCAACAGGCACACAAAAGGCTTCAATGATGTGATGAAATGCGCATTTAAAGCGTTTTAGAAGTCTATAATATTCTTCCTCTTTCTGTAGATCTTGGTTTGTGGTGTTTCTCATTGACCTGACCAGCAGGTTTCTTTTACCAACATACTTCTGCTGACAGATACACACTGTAGGTAATTTTGACTATATTAGTTATTATTTTTGACTACTTGGTAACTGATAATAACACAATTTGCTGTTGTAGTGTGCTGCAGGTATGGGCTTCGCGGAGGATCTGTGGTGCCCTCAGGGTCACGCCGCCCTAATGAAACTACAAGACTCTGAGCTGCGTTTGATGGAGGTTATGAAGAAATGGGTGACGCAGCGGGTCAAGAGCGATCGCGAGTTCTTCGTGCAGCTGCATCAGATGTCAGCCATTGTTGAGAAGCTGGAAGGATCTCAGCCCGGGGGAGGTCTCGACTACATCAGCCAGTTCAATAAGGTTGGAAGGATCTCCTTAGCAAGTATTAAGTTTCCGAAGAATTGTATTTGGAATTTCCAGTGATTGATTCCAATTTATATTAGAGATTTTAATGCATTTAGATGATATATCCATCTTGAAATGATCTGTGCTGAGTCTGAATCCTTACTTTCCACGTGATATTAAAGGGTTAGTTCACCCAAAAATGAAAATTCTGTCATTATTTACTCACCCTCATGTCATTTCAAACCCGTAAGACGTTCGTTCGTCTTCAGAACACAAATTAAGATATTTTTGATGGAATCTGAGAGCTGTCTGACCCTGCATAGACAGCAACGCAACTGAAATGTTCCCAAGTCCAGAAACGTAGCGAGGAGATCTGTTAAATAATCCATGTGACATCAGTGGTTCAAATACGAAGCTACGAGAATACTTTTTGTGCGCAAAAGAAAAAACAGAACAGCATACGCTGCTTACGTTCAGTGTATATTCTCCAAAATGGCGCTACAGGGTGATGCGGAGGAGACTAATTATACGAAGCTACGAGAATACTTTTTGTGTGCAAAAGAAAAAGAAAAAACGACTTTATTCAATAATTGCGGTTGAACCACTGATGTCACGTGGATTATTTAACAGATCTCCTTGCTACGTTTCTGGACTTGGGAACATTTCAGTTGCGTTGCAGAGTCAGACAGCTCTCAGATTCCATCAAAAATATCTTAATGTGTGTTCCGAAGATGAACGAAGGTCTTACGGGTTTGAAACGACATGAGGGTGAGGAATTAATGACGGCATTTTCATTTTTGGGTGAACTATCCCTTTAACGCTTAAAGGCATAGAAAGTGCCCTGTTTCTGGAATGGGAAATTGCACTGTAACAATCTAAAACCTGCTGCCAAAAGCCCTCAGGCTTGCTCTGATATTCTAGACTTTTTTTTCTGCTGAACTTCCAACTGTTTAGACTCTACAATGATGCTAAAACCTCTAATTGAGCATAGGCCTAAAATTACTTTATTTTCTCGGAGTATGCAATTCTCAAACATTTAGAATGCAAGTCATTTTTTGATTGTTGCTTTCACTTGAGAGGTGCATGCACCACAATCAAATATAATCATGTATTCACATTTTCAATGCCTACATCCTAAAACTTCATTTTCTCTCTCACAGTCGTGGAACGTGCTGGTCAGTCAGACGGAGAGCCTCAGTCGTATCATGCGCAAGCACTCGGAGGATCTGATGGTGGGACCCCTCAGCAAACTCACCCTCCTCATCCGGGACAAGCAGCAGCTGAGGAAGACTTACGGGGAACAGTGGAACCTTCTCAACCAGGAGCTGTGCAGGGTCAGCGCCACACGCACATCACTCTCACACAATTACCGTTACACATTACACTCTAAACAATAAAGGTTCCCTATTGTCATCGATGGTTCCATGAAGAACCTTTAACATCCATGAAATCTTTTCAGGTTCTTTATAGTGGATAAACATTCTTTAGGTTCTAAAATGTTCTTCACACTAAGAAAAAAAAAAGGTTCTTTGAGGAACTAATAGAATCACAGTGAAAACCCCCTTTTGGAATCTTATTTTTAAGAGTGTATCTCATACTGAAAGTCTTTTGCAACACTACAAACATACTTATTTACCATGACACATTTTCATTAGCAAGTTTATATATTAAATGAGGAAATATGTGTGTGAATAATGAAGTATGCATATATTTGAATTGATTTTCCTAGTTTACAAGATGTGTTTTTATTCGCATATACACTACTGTTTGGGCTTGGTAAGAGCTTTTTTATGTTTTTGAAAACAGTCTCTTATGCTTATCAAGATGCTTCTCATTTATTTGATCAAAAAAGTACAGTAAAAACAGTAATATAGTGAAATATTATTTCAATTTAAAATAACTGTTTACTATTTTAATATATTTTAAAATGTCATTTATTCCTGTGATGCAAAGCTTAATTGTCAGCATCATTACTCCAGTCTTCAGTGTAACATGATCCTTCTGAAATCATTCTAATATGCTGACTTGCTGCCCAAGAAACATTTCTTATTATTATCAATGTTGGAAACAGTTGTGCTGCTTAATATTTTTTGTGGAAACCATGATAAATTATATTTTTTCAGGATTCTTTGATGAATAGGAAGTTACACGTTCAAAACAACAGCATCTCAGAAGTTGAAACAGTCAAAAAGAATTTATTTGAAATAGAAATCTACACCCTATGTCTGTGATCTTTTCATATAAGGCATCACTCACATTTTCATCAGAACATCTATAATTATCTCCTATTTGACTTTGTGTGTTTAGATGTTTGGTATAATCTAAATTAGATAGAGGAAATGTAAGTGGTAAGTCATCAAGCAGCTCTTCTTTTTGTGCTCATTTTATTTGCTGCTTAAACATAGCAGCGGTTTCTGCATTGCCGCTCTCTGCTGAAGCTTATTTTTGGTTCAGTCTCTTTGAGTTTTGAAGTTATAACTGAAGCACAAGTTGCCAGTTGATCTTCAGATGGTTTCTGTGAATTCTTGAATGGTTTAACGCTGCAAACATATACACTAACAAACATCAGGAACATCAGAAAAACTTTGTAGAGCACTGTTTCTAGTGAATCTTATCAGCTCTATCAGCAACAAAACTTTGTGTGTCTGTCTGTTAGTTCGTTTATGGTTGAAGTAACAGTTGAAACGGTTTACTTCAGGAACAGGAAATTAAGTGGTGACGCAACGTGATAATTTTATTTCACATTCAGTAGTTTTGTCAGGCAACCTGTCCATGTTGGTCACAGAAGCCAAATCAGGCAAAAATGCAAGCTGTACTATTCAGTAATGCTTGAATTTGCACCAAAACACAGTAGTTTGATTGAATGCACAGCCTGCATTCACAGATAGACTCTTAAAAATAAAGGTGCTCCACGATGCCATAGAAGAACCTTTTTGTCTAAATGGTTCTATAAAGAACCTTTCTGTTTCACAAAAGGTTCTTTGTGGCGAAAGAAGAACCTTTTGAAGCACCTTTATTTTTAAGAGTGTATAGGCAGTTACTACTGCAGCAAATAAATAATTATTTCCATTACTTCGGTTTAGCCTGGAGGTTTTTAAAACTAAATATCACAAATATTCAACCTCATATCTGAAGCTGGCTAGTAACATGTTGAATTGATTGTCAGCAATGAGTTTTTACTCCTCGCCCTTTCATGCCTTTGATTGCACATGACACATGTGACTCACTTTGTTGCACCAACCTGGATTTTGATTGGTTTTGTTGTCCTGTTGTGTAAGGTTAGGTCACCCAAACTGAGTTGGACCGGCTCAAGTCCAGTTACAGACAGCTAGTACGGGACGCGACACAGGCCAAAAGAAAGTACCAGGAAGCAAGCAAAGGTAAGATGCCTCGCTGCTGCCTAGTTCTCTAAAAAGCCTGGTCACTTTCCTTTCATTTTGACTGTGAATTGTGTACTCTGTGCTGAACAGATAGACATACAATAATGTTTAAACACTGAATGGTTTTATGATATTATGTGTAAACAAGGCATTTGTCTACTTGGCCAAGAGCAGAAAAACCAAGACGTGTTTCTCAGGTCACAAAGATGTAACAAAGTTTACAAGTTCCTCTTACAGGAAACAAGAGAAACTAAATGTGGTTTCTCCAGTGACCATAGTGTGAATGCTCAGCAGAGCACTTTGTGCAGCACTTAAGAGACAGGCCGAAATGAATACAACAGTAAAATTAAGTAATACACAGACATGAAAAGTTAATTACAGATACTGTATATTTGCAGTTTATAGGGATTAGGCATGGGCCGATTACCGGTTTCAAAACCGCTAATATTTTCCGTTATACCGTTCCTGCGGTTTGCGCTGTTTTTCATGTCTCAAAGACTGAAAGTGTAGGAATGCCTCAGGCTGAGTGCAGTGTAGAGAGTAACAGGACCCTCCTCGTGTTGGTGTGAGCGAGCGGTCAGTCATGTGTGTGTAAGGATGGCCGAACTTAAGGAGCTTCCTCTGGAACTTACGCGATCGGCAACCGGCCGTTTTTTGTCTTATTGCAACTCGTCTCTGTTCTGGACTTGCACAAACTGCGTTGCAATGCAATCGTTTTCCAAAATGTCATTTATGTGAAAATATGAAGTCTGTAAACGCCCGTTAACACAGGCCAGAGACGTTGAAGACGGACGCACAGAGAAAAATACTGTAGCAGGCAGATCACTCACTGTTCATGATGCACAAACTATTGGAAGAAAACCCTCAATATTGATTTGGTGGTTTATATGAATGTGTTTCTGAGGGGAACTGACTGTCTTCAGAAAAGTTTTTATTACCATTTTCTTAACTATAGCGAATAAACTGTGATAATGTGAGAAAAGATGAAGGTGTCTAAATAGATTTTGGTTTGACTGTATCTATTTGATAAATGAAGTTAACCAACTAACATTATACATACTCTTTTGGTTTCTGTACCCAATATTTAAAAAATTTACAAATGCAATAAAAATATTGGTATCGGTACTCTGTATCGGCAAGTACCAAAAATAAAAGTATCGGTATCGGGCGAGTACTGGAAGAAGTGGTATCGGTGCATCCCTAGCAGTTTAGAAGGAATTATTGAAATGAGCTGCACATGATGGGTACAATTTTATCACGCTTTGATAGGATAAGCAAGGTGTATTATAGTCTTTAAGGACTTGGTGGTTAAAGCAGATGGTTTGATGGCTTGCTGATTTAAATGAGCAAATATAGCACTTGAGAACTACACTACTGTTCAAAACTTTGGGGTCTGTAAAATGGCTCTTATGCTCACCAAGGCTGCATTTATTTGTTCAAAAATAGAGTAAAAACAGTAAAATTGAGAAATATTTTTACAATTTAAAAAAGCTGTTTTCTATTTTAATACGTTTTAAAAAGTAATTTATTCCTATGATGACAAAGATTAATTTTTAGCAGCTACTAGGCCAGTCTTCCGTGTCAAATGATACTCCTTAAGTCATTCAGAAGTAATTTGCTGCTCAAGAAACTTATTATTATTAGTAGTAGTAGTAGTATATCAATGATGAAAACAGTTGTCTTTGATAAATAGAAAATTCAAAATAACAGCATTTATTTTTAAGTAAAAATCATTACATTATAAATGTCTTTATAAATTTGATCAATTTAATGCATCCTCGCTGAATAAAAGAATTAATTATTTGTAAAAAATCTTACTGACCCCAAACTGTAATTTTTGACCTGTGGTGTGAGTATTTCATTATTTTATAGCAATTATACATCTTGTAAGATTCAGTCCACTAAAGGAGAGTTTGTTGATCCCATGTGCAGTTTATTTAAATCCAAAGCACGGACAAATACAAGATAGACAGAGACTTGATTTGGCATGAACTTGAAACAACTTGCCAAACAGCGGATTAACGTAGAACAAAGCTAGACAAAGACAATGGAAACATGAGGGCTATATATACACAAGGACTAATCACTAAACAAAGAAGGCCTGTGAACAATCAGACAATGAACCAATGACCAAACAGAACAGAGAAACACATGACCAGAACAACCAATCAGAACGTGACTCATGGACAAGGGTAGCACATTGCAAGATCACAAGAGGAGCAAGGGAAACACATGACAAACAGGAAGCATGACCATGAGAATTTCAAAATAAAAGACATGAAAACATTAACTGAACAAAAACACAAAACAGACATGACATGTCCCTCCCTCTAAGGGTGGCTCCAAACACCCTAACATACTTACTTACTTACTAACCATTATGCCTTTGGCATGTAGGCAGCAACAAAAGTCCTCCACTCCTGTCTGTTCTGGGCCAGCCTCTGGATGGTACCCCAAGAGCGGTTCAGGTTCTGTAGTTCTGGAACTAAAGAACCCTAACATGATGACACCCACCCAAAACCCAGCATAAACCAAAAATTCCAGGAGAGTGGTAGAGTAGAGGAGATCATGGGGGAGAGATGGTGGGCCGGGACTGTGAAGTGGAACTTGACCGGGATCATGGCGTGGGGGTGGGCCTGGACTGTGGAGCAATGGCTGAGACCATGGACCGTGGAGCAGTGATGGGCCTGGATCGTGGAGTAAAGCCCAAAGTATACTTCAGTTTTTATGTGTACACGAGGATAAGCATAGAGTGTGCGTGACGCAAATTTTGTTACCAGAAAAGCATGCGCACCATCCAATTTTTGTAACGGCGCGTATTTGTATGTGCAGGTCGCACATGCTCATTGACATGGTTTTGCACTAATCAGTTGTTACACAAGGTGGCAACACTGGCCCAGGCCGCTGTTTCACAGTAGAAAACAAAACTAAAGAGACGGAACAACAACAAAATAGCGGAGACTGCAACTACAACAGACGGCTGCATTGACAAGCGCTTGGGTAAGAGGGTTATGAGAGAGCCGCAACTTTAGTTTAAAAGACATTTTTATTGGTCATAACTTCTGGAGAAAAATAGTTTTGAAAGGCTGCGCAATCGACTATACGCTAGCGTACACGTACAAGACTGAAGTACACTTTGGGCTTAACGGCAGACTGTGGAGCAGTAGAGGACCTGGGACATGGAGCAACCATAAAGGATCAGGTAAGTAGTGCAGAGCCAGAGACCAGGGTGGAGGTGGCGGAGCAGGCAATTAGGGAGGAGCTGGAGACCTCCAAGGGAGATCAGAAGACCACCTCAGCAGAGCAGACTGGACTGAAGACCCTCAGAGATTAGGAGGCCATGATGGAGCAGAGGCATGGATGGCCCACCTGGCCGCGACAGTGAAGACAGAGGCTTCAGAGACAGCCTCTGTGGCTGTGACAGGACAGGTGGAGAGTTTTCGAATGGTCTCCGTGGCTGTGACATGGTAGGCAGTGAGTTCATGAGTGGCCTCCAAGGCCATGACATGAGGCATAGAAAGTCCAGAGGAGCTGTAGTGATCGCCCCCACCTCTGAGGAAGTGTATGCAGCCCGCACACACATGATGGCATCTACAATCACAGGAAGCACTATGGACAGTGGAGTGATCTCACAGACTTGGACTTGAGATCACTATACTTGGAACCACCAGAGTCATGGTTGATTAATTCAGTGTAGAGCCAAGCTCCATTTCCACCGGAGATTGGATACTATACTATGGATATTGTAGCCCCCTCACAAAAAAATCTCCAGGGCAGATTTGAATGAGGTGAGGAGACTCTGGTGTGGAGGCTGTGATGGCTTGGGACTCTGGCGTGGCGGCCATGACGTGTTTTTGGTCTAAAAGTGATGACAAGGCTCTGGCTTGATGGTCATTGGGGCGACAACACTAAGAAACATTGGCTGAGCAGCCCTGACATGACTTGACTTGGTGTGGTGGCCATTGCAGCTGAGGACTCTGCAGAAGAGGGACCCCATAATGCCACAGTACCCACCAAGCTAGTTCATAAAGTGAATGAGGAACCACACAGCAGAAGAGCATGGTCAATTTGCTGAGCCAGAGTCAAGTGAGGAGTGTGATGCAGCATTAAACAAGATATTTCTTCTGTTAGACCAAAACAAAAAAATGCCTTTGAGAGTAGTGTCATTAAAATCCACAAGTCCTCCACAAACTCCTCAATGACGAAGAGGAAGACGACGAACAGCTTTCTGTAATATTCAGTCCTCTGAAGGCAAGTTTGCTGAACCCATGTGCAGTTTATTTAAATCCAAACTTGAAAAAACACAAGATAAATTGAGACTTGACTTGGCATGAATATGAAGCAACTCACAAAACAGTGGGTTACGTAGAACAAAGCTAGACAAAGGCAATGGAAACATGAGGGCTATATAACTGAACAAAAACACAAAACAGACATGACATATATATATATATATATATATATATATATTATACTGTATATAAGGTTGCATAGTATTTTGTACCTGATGCACAGCTGTACATCAACTTTCTTCTACATGTTCATATGTATTTGTGGATGGTCTTTTGTACAGACAAAGAACGCGAGAAAGCGAAGGAGCGCTACATCAAAGCCACTCTGAAACTGCATGAGCACCACAATGAATATGTGCTGTCGGTGAAGGCTGCGCAGGTGCACCACCAATTCCACTACGGCCAAAGCCAGCCGGCCCTACTAGGAGCCCTGCAGACGCTGCAGGAGGAAATGGTGCTTATTCTGTGAGTCAACATTAATAACATCATCACTATAACCGTATACTGTGAAATCATAGTAGTTAGCATGGGTCTTTATGCTTTTAGATTCTTTCTGCCATTTGATTTTATTTCTATTTATGATGACAGTGGTAGGCAATATCAAGTAAACATCATTTTCTTAAAAACAATCTCAAGTATAGTATCAAATAGATTTTTATAGTTTCTAAATTGTGGTTCTTGCTAGGTGATTGCTTACTGGCCTAATTACTCATTGCTTTATTTTTAAGAGCTGACAACTTTCCCCACAGTGACTTCTGCTTTTTGAATGGACGATATGTCATGCTGCTCACTTCTCAAATGCGCTGTACATAGACCTATACGGTTACAGTTAGTAAAAAAGAAGAAGTAGGTTTGCTGTGTCTTGCGTGTGAAAACACACGACTGATGTGGCATGTTGTTTTCTTAGGAAGGAGATTCTGCAGGAGTATTTCGATCTGTCTAGCGTGCTTCATGATGAGGTGGTTAGTGTTCACACTGAAATGGCCAATGCCCTGAAAGCCATCCAGCCACAGAGAGAGTATGAGAACTTCATCCAGCTGAACAGGTATATATCTTCCCCCTTTGTTCCCAGGTTTTGTTGAATGCAATGGGATCCTGGACCAGAGGAACAAGGGATATTACATACTAACTTGCTTGTTTATCCTCTGTGTAACTAATTCTCATCTCTTAGTCAGTCTTTCATTATTAGCAAATATGCTGCTGGTGCATGAACTGCTGCATGAACATCTGCAACAAATAACATAAAGTAGGTCCAGTTCAAGCTAAGAGTCCTCCAAAAATAAATGGTCACTGGCAAAATGTCTAGAGTAATATAATTAAATATTTGCATGTAATTATATAAAATATATTAAATAAATAGATAGTTTTGCAATAAATATTACAAATACAAATTGGTCCCAATGTGAGTGTCTGTCAGTAGAAAATGAAAATGTGTTGTGCCATGTGAGATCAAACAGTCTCTCACAGTTTCAAGCCTTTCATTAGCAACTGGTGCATGAGCTGTAAAGTGAAAGTCTGCAACAAATGATATAAAATACGTCCATTTCAAGCTTTTAAGAGTCCTCTAAAAATAAATAATCACTGATCAAACATCTACTATAATATAATTAAACATTTGCATGTAATTATATATGCATGAATGAATTAATAAATAAATAGTTTGTAAATAAATATTATTTGTATGTTGCTTGAGAAAAAAAGTCACAATTGGGTTTGAATGTCTGTCAATAGAGAATGAAAATGTGTTTACTGCATAATAATGTAGTTACAACACTGCTCAAATCTTGGACATAACTTAGACCATGTGGGCATTGTAATATAATAATAACATCATAGCCACCAATCAAATCATGATGGATAAAATCAAGTCTCGCCCTGCATTTTTTCCTAATGAATGTTCTGTTAGATATTATGCATGGGCCTGCAGATGCTTTCATGTGAATGTACCTTTAAAAGGATAGTCAGGCTTCTGTCTGTCCATGTCTCTCTGCATGCACATGCACGTGTACAGATTGTATATGTATGTGCAGGTCGAGAGGAGAGGTTCCTGCATGTGTGGAGTTTGATGGCAGTTTGTTGGAGGACGCTGAAGATCTGAAGCCTGAAGATCTGCAGCTCAATGAGCTCACAGTAGAGGGGATCCAGCATCGGTGAGTTTCTTCTTTCTGCACACCGCTGTACAGCATAGTGGCACCAGTGAAAGCAAAAATGTCATAGAAAGGTAGAAGTGAAATCAGAACTCTTGGAAGCCTTGTTATTGCTTCTGAAACCATCATGTGAACATTTCTTTTTTTTTTTCCATTTGTGTTTTTTAGAGGGTAGGGAATGAGGTGTGTTTTTCCATAGCCTGTTTGCTTTTCGGTTCATTATTTGTTTTCGTTGTTTTTGTGTGTGTTGGCCGTAAGACATCGTCTTGAGCTAATTAGGAACCTGATAATTATTTTTTTCAATTACTTACAAACTAAAGCAGAACATCCAAACCCATTATCCTGTTTCCAACAACAAAGAGTTTTTTGAAAGCTGTAAACTTTTTACATAAGCTACAAAATTTTAAAAAAAATTTCGCCCAAAGTTCTAAACGCATATATTCATAATGGCATCACAACCTGTTCACAAACTTTAAAGTAAAGAAAACAACACAATATGTAATTGTTCACTCTGTTCTGCCACAGACTAAAGCTGATCTCTTTTATTTGCTAAATATAGGGATGCACCGATACCGATACTGGTATCGGTATCGGGCCCGATACTGGCCTCCTGTACTCGTACTCGTACTCGTTAAAATGCTACAAGAAAACTAATGTTATGTATGCACTACTGTTCAAAAGTCTGTGATCTTTTCAAAGAAATTGAGACTTTTATTCAGCAAGGATGCATTCAATTGATCAAATGTGACAATAGAGACTTTTACATTCTTACAAAAAAAACAACAACTTTATTTCAAATAAATGAGGTTCTGTTGAACATTTATTTGTCACGGTTTCCACAAAAATATTAGTCAGTAGCTGTTTTCAACATTGATGATAATTAGAAATTTTTCTTAAGCACCAAATCAGTGTATTAGAATGATTTCTGAAGGATCATGTGACACTGAAGACTGGAGTAATGATGCTGAAAATTCAGCTTCACATCACAGCAGTACATTGACAGTTTTCTATCTTAATATATTTTAAAATGTAATGTAAGTTATAATATTTCACAATATTACTGTTTTTACTGTATTTTTTTGATCAAATAGTGCAGCCTTGGTGAGCATAAGAGAATTTTTACAAAACCTTACCAATCCCAAACTTATGAACAGTAGTGTACAGTTTATGGAAATATACTTTATACATGTTTAGCAACTGGAAAAATTTTTTTACAAGATACACACATATTTCCTTGTATAATGTTACTGGCCCTCAGCATTTTGACTGTCTTCTGTTTCATCCCAACTCATTTTGCACTCTCATGGCTTCTCACTTTTTTCTCTTCTCCAAGGCTCACCGCTGTGGAGGAGGAGCTCCTGGGTCTCGCTAGTACTCTTGGTTCTCAGCAGGCCACCGTCAACCAGCTGGAGCTGGATCTGCAGAATGAGGAGGGCTCTGCGAACACAGGCCAGAGGTGAGCCTGTGAACTCTCCTTACACGTCTGAACTCCTCTGCTCCAGATTTGCAATTCAAATGCCAAGTAGATTTTTAAGAGGAAGTTTCTACATCTTTTTAGGCAAGTAAACATTTAGCAAACGCTTTTATGGAAAGCCACTTACAAATAGAGCATCCAGATAGCTCAAGTGTCGCTCCTAGTAGATTCAAACCTCTTACCTCTATTGTACTTTAACCCCTGCAACATATCACCATCATATTTAATATTAAATATCCATTATTGCAGTGTATTTTACAGTGGAAATTAAAAGTGTGTTCTGATGTGTGATTGAGACATGAATTCATATAAGGTGGTACTGCATAAAGCCCTGGGTCTTATGACTCCTTGGAATGCTTCATTCTGATTGGTTAAGGGAAGCATTCCGCATTTAATGTTTATTGTTTTCAAAAATGTTATACATTTATGTAACAAATTAGTATCAATAAAATTATAGTCAAATATATTTTGGGAAAAAAGTCTGGCCAAAAGTGACTGGCCACTCACTTCTATGTCTTTAAAGGAATAGTTCACCTTAAAAATGTAAATTTGGTCATCATTTATGGTAACCCTTTTAGCATAGGGACCAATTCTCTCTATTAACTAGTTGCTTATTAGTATGCCTAATATTAAGATATTGGCTGTTTATTAGTGGACCTTACAATAAAGTGTGACGTCATTTACTCTTTACCTGAATGTAGCTCCAATCCTGTATAAGTTTCTTTATGTTGAACACAAAAGAATATATTTTGAAGAATTTTGAAGAACCAAACAGTTATTTGTCCCCGTTATGTTCAATATGAGAAAGAAACTCACACAGGTTTGGAACGACATGATGACAAAATTTTCATTTTTAAGGTGAACTATCCCTTTAAGGAGAATTGGACCAATTTATGTGTTGTAAATTCAACAGGCTCTGACTCTGTCATTCGCTGTAGTGTAGGTTATCGATCAACCAACATGTTCTTTATAAAAATACTTAAATCACAAAATACATGTACTTACACATATTTGAGAATTGTAATATCAATTATTTCACAATCTAGTTGAAAAAATAAAAGTGATACAGCAATCATACAGGGCAGCAAGTTCTTAATAAAACAAGAATAGTCTGTTTAAAATGTACCATTTTAAAACAGAGTTCCAAGGTATAAATATATGGAGTTTGGTATTTTGGTATAACTGGTATTTATACCTAAAAATCTTATTACTCAAAGGTTATGAAATACATGTTTGTTACATAGAAAGATGACTCCCAAAATAACCGAAATTTAATGCTTTGGTGCTAAAATTAAATTTTATTTTATTTTATTTTACTAATTTTATTGGGGGACATGGGCAGAAATAGAGTTTCTAATCTGTATCTAATCAAATTATTTAGAATCAATAACATTCAGATTGCACTAAATTCTCGCCTCTGTTTACACAAATGTGAGCTTGTTCTCCTCTGTTTGTTTTTGTAGGGTGTATCTGTTCAGTAAGCGTAATGCTCTGGAGGACAGCAGACAGCAGGTAGTTCTGTCCATGGTGGCTCGAGCTCGCCTGGAGGCCCAGCGGAGGCTTCTGGCCGATAAACTTGAGACTCTGGGCAGCAAGGAGGCTCTACCTATAGGCCTGGATGATGATCGGATATCTGTCACATCCAGCAACTCAGTGAGTCCACTCTGATTTCATTAAATCTGTCCTGAGAGCTTCAGTTCTTCCTACAGTACATCTGCTTTGCGGACTTCAATTGTGCTTGACTTGTCGGAAAGGTTTCAGGATACCTTAAACTAAACCTGGGATTTTCCATTCTTCAGAACAAGCAAATCTATCCAGCTGTACTATATAAACTACAGTTACACTTTATTTTAAGGTGTCCTTGTTGCAGTGTAATTATATATTTAAGTACTGAGTAATATTAATTAACTACATGTACTAACTATGTTTAGGGATAGGATTAGGGTTCAGCTTAGGGTTACTTGCATGTAATTATGCATAATTTATTGCTATTATAATAGCAAGTACATGTAACATGTGTAACAAGAACACCTTAAAATAAAGTGTTACCTATAAAATATTAATAAAATATAAATTAATATAAATTAATATAATGAATATAATGCATTTATATAATTAAATATAAAATAAATAATATGATACAATGTAATTAATAAATTATATATATAATAAAACATTGTGTATATACATACATTAGGGTGCATTAATATAAAAATAACAGGTCTAATACATAATATAATATAATATAATAATTATTTGTACAGACATAATACTATTTGCATTTTCAGTCTCTTCCCAAACTACCTAGAATATACTGCCTTAGAAGAAATTAATTAAAAATGTATAAACATAATAAATAAATAAAATAAGGATCTAGCATAAATAAAATGCTAAATTATATATGCTATACTATGATAGATGATGGACTGAATTACGAGAGGTTTTTAATAAATGTAGTTTTATTTGTCATGCTATTGTATTATTGATTGTTTGTTTCTTGCAGGAGCATGATAAAGACCATAAGCTCCTCAACATGGATGTAATCGTGAGCCATCTCAGCAGCTTGTTCAAGCCCAAGTATACGGTTGGTTTTTTTTTAGTGTCAGTCTTCCTCTCTCACCTCCTCCCTGCTCTCTGCTCATTGCTGTATCTGCAACTTCTTCCTGTAGAGTAGTGTGTTTTATTAATCTCCCCAGGTGCCCCCCGCCCTGGCGCCGGTGTCCGAGGCGGAGAAGCCCTTGACCCAGCAGAGCTGGTATCACGGTGCCATCCCCCGTCTGGAGGTGCAGGAACTGCTGAAGAATGATGGCGACTTCCTGGTTCGAGAAAGCCAGGGCAAACAAGAATTAAACTACGTATCTTTACTTTTAAAACATGTTTACGTGCAGCCAGGTTAATGGAGTAATAAGATCATGAGAAATCGATTTTGTTACCTTTTGAAATAAAAGTTCATTGTTGCAGTGTATGAAAATATACTGTAACTTTCGGAACTTCCTTTCCAGTGGAAAGAGACTTTTTTTTAAAACAAATCAGCAACTTTGTGACGTCAAACAGATGAGTACTGTATATCAATTCATTACCATAAAGCCCAGATGAACTATCGATAACAGTAAAATAAGTGGACTGTAGATAAAATGAAAAACGTGAAATGGCCCCTGTAACGAATCAAGTGGCTTCAAAGCTGTAAAATGCAGTGTCATTAAATGCAATGTAAAAGTATCTAAGCCAGTCATGCTGTTACATTGATTTTGAAATATGAGAATTACACAACCTTGTTGACTCTGAACTACCAGGACTTACTCGCATGCTGCTGGTTTAGCTTTCTGAATATGGTTGTTTCTCAAGCATACAGCACAAGACTGAGACATGATTCCACTGTAAATCATCTGTAGGCAGTTTGTTTAGCTGATCTTCCGATTTAACTGTATGTTTTCCAAACAGATGTGAATTTCTATAATTTCACGTACAATACAGTTTGTCATTGTAAAAACAAGAAGCTTCTGAAACTTCAGAAGGCTTAATAAATATATATATATATATATATATATAAGTACAGACGTGAGTTTGTTTTATAGCTGATATTTGTGCCAGTACATGATGTGTGCAGGGATTAACTGTAAAGCCATGTTTATGTGTGTGTTTAGGGTATGTATCGTCTTGACGGTGAAGGCTTCACCTCTGTACCGCTGCTAATAAAGCACCTCATCAGCTCCCATCAAACGATCACAAAGAGGACAGACATTGTGCTGAAGAGACCCATTGTTAAGGTTTATCACTGATCCCAAATCAGTCTCATGATTACTATATAGATTACCACTGAAGAGTGATAGCCTCATATACATTATTATTTGGAAAAATTGTTTCTTCAATCAATTTTGTCCAATGTTTATTATTAGTAGTAGTATTAGTATTGTTACTTTAAAATATTGAAATATAATTACAAATATTAATAAAAATGTGAAAATAAATATTTATTTTTTATTTATTAGTATTATTACTTTAAAATATTGAAGTATAATTACAAATATTAATAAAAATATAAAATGTATTTATTTATTTAAATAATTCCCCCTAGAAAAAGTTCATAGAGGGAAATCTTTGGTTACACTTTATTTGAAGGTGTCGCTGTTACAGTGTAATTATACATTTAAGTACTGAGTAATATTAATTAACTACATGTTCCTACTGTATGGTTAGGGATAGGATTAGGGTAATTATGCATAATTAATTGTTATTATAATAGTAAGTACAAGTAACATGTGTAACAAGGACACCTTAAAATAAAGTGTTACCAAACCTTTCAAAGGGAAAATAAGGGAAAATGCCCTAACAAAACTATTAAAAGGAAAATATTTTATAATTTGGAGCAGTATCAGTACTCTCTTGGGCAAAAAAAGAGTAGTGTTAGCTCCCCTTTGTGTCCACATCAAAATATACGAGTTAAGTTTACTATTAAAATATTACAATATTTATTTATTTATTTGAATTCTATATAATCCACCTACAAGAAGGTCATAAATGAACTCGTTTTTGTGACAGGAAGCTTTTTTCCACTGTTATAAATCTTAGAAGATTATTATCTAACCTTTTCAATAGTTAAAAGTTCATATTTGTGTTTCTGTTAAGAGTGGTCTCTAGATATGGGCGTTGACCATTAAATCTATATCGCCTGAGCACTGTTGTGATTGGCCAGTCAATATGATGATGCATACTTGAGATTAATTAATTTTGCGGGGTGTTTTTTAGGATAAGTGGGTGTTGGAACATGATGATGTCATTCTTGGACAGAGCATTGGTCGGGTAAGCAGTGTTATATAAAAAGACTGATAAAAGGATTTCAGCAAAGGTTTTAAATAACTTGTCGACCTATTTTTTTGTTCATAATGTTGCTTATTGTAATGTTTGGACGTGATCAGGGTAACTTTGGTGAGGTGTTCAGTGGGCGCCTGCGTTCAGAAAATACTCCAGTCGCTGTGAAAGCCTGCAGAGAGAATCTGCCTGCAGAACACAAGAACAAGTTCCTAATGGAGGCCAGGTTTGTAATAGACACTTAATAACACACATTCTCTCACATAACATTCTCATTTAACTAAACATCTCTCCATTTCTATCCCAGGATCCTAAAGCAGTATGACCATCCAAACATAGTGAAGCTAATCGGCGTCTGCACACAAAAACAGCCAATTTATATCATCATGGAGCTGGTGCAAGGTACATCTAAGCTTTTATTAAAAATCATTTAAAGGAACAGCGCACCCAAAAAAATCATCCTTTACTGTCCTCATGCTGTTTCAAACCTGTATGACTGTCTTTCTTCCATGTAACACAAAAGGCGAACATTATTTAAAGGTCCCCTGAAATGCTTAGAAACACGCAGCGTTACTCTGTGTTGACGTCGAATTTTGATTTCATGGGGACTTTAAATTAAGCTCCAAAAAAAGCACCATAAACACAGTCCACATGTGTTATATTTTCCAAGTACTCCTAATGTAGTACTCGTATGATAAATTGAAGAACAAATATGTAAAAAATCATATGGTGTATAATGGTCATCATTATCATCAATAAATTGTATTTTTTAATTATTCATATATTATTGAAATGTTGAAATTATGAAATATTTATGTATGTAATTGTTTATTTATAAAAATTTACTTCATATAAGAACATTATTAATTATATATTGTTTTTAATATTATTTTTTATAATTAAATATTTGTTCAATTAAATTAATAATAAATGATTACAGTTATAAAATAAAGAAACATAGTGTATTTATTTAATTTAATATCATTTACATAGAAAACGTTAACAAAGGAACTCACAAAGAAACCTTTATTTATTTATTATTTATTTAACTAATTGTTTGTAAAGTCTCAAAATCTAATTATGAGATAACAAGCATCAAAGTTTGATTTCAACCATTAATTTCACTATGATTTCAATCTTTGACATGGTCTTACTCAGTGAGTAATAAAGATATCAATGTTACATTTTCACATAATGTTCTTTACCTTATGAAGGATGATTTTATGTAGAAAGCAGAGGGTCACAATTGATATTATATTTTTAAGTTAATAAATGTTAAATCATTTATCATATGATGTTGAACTATTCCGATTTTACTGGCAGGAGGGGACTTTCTAACCTTTCTGCGCACAGAAGGCCACAACCTGAAGACCAAGATGTTGATCAAGATGGCAGAGAATGTGGTGTCGGGCATGGCATACCTGGAAAGCAAGAAGTGCATTCATCGGTGAGCAGTTGACAATGAAATAAGGACAGAAAGACAATGAAATCTTAGGATCAATGCTGAGAAACTATAGTGGATCCATAAAGCTCTAGCAGACCTCCTAAAGAGCTCACAGCTGGTTTTTATTGAATCTAATAAGTAGACTCAAGGTATTTCACTATTGTGTTTAAGTCTCTTTACCAGCAGTTTACGAGCAGTGCCCGATGGGAAGATTGTGGGGTAATGAGCTGAGAAGAAATGAAACCTCACTGCTGCATCTGATAGTGGCTGTTTCCCTCATGCTTCAGTGTCTCTAGAGAGGATTGAGTTCCCATACAGCCAGTGCACTTTCTGTTTCTCTGTCTGTCATTCCTATTCTTTCTTTTTAATTTGCTCTGGTTGTTTTTTTTTTGTTAGCTTGTTTTATATTTGTCTCCTTCAGGCTTTCTCTTTCTGTGCGTTTACATTTATTTCAGAGCAACCTACAATAAACCTCTCTAATTCTCCCCGTCTCCAGAGATCTGGCTGCCCGTAACTGTCTCGTCGGAGAGGAGAGCGTGGTGAAGATCAGTGATTTCGGTATGTCTCGTCAGGAGCAGGACGGTGTTTATTCTGCTACAGGAGGAATGAAGCAGATCCCAGTCAAATGGACAGCACCAGAAGCTCTCAATTATGGTAATACTCGACCAGGGGTTTACAAACTTTTTTGTTAGATGAAAATATTTGATTTAAGTACCCCCTGAGATTTTAAGGTGATATTTCAATAATATAATGCAATCATATGCACATGTTCATGGTTCTGACGCCCAGTAAGAAATACAAGTCAGCTTTAAAAAATCGTCTTTTCTTTATTTTGATTAAACAAATAAATATTGTTAGATAAAAAA